GCTGAACCGGTCTGTCGTTTGTCGGAGATAGTGGAAAGCCGGCTTGAAACGCAGTGGAAACGCCAGTATGCCGAGGATCGTTTTCATTTTAAAACATAAACGCACGAGTGAAAATGTAGCCTTACATTTATGGGGGCTGGGACGCATTCACATAAACATTACAGCCTCACGTGTGCGCCACATCTCTTGAGTGTAACCGGTGTAAACTAGTAGGTGTGTTCGACTTGACGCAGACCGATTAATTAACCCCTTAGGTATCGAAATTTGGTACCGAACGACGAGACGTTTTTCGATACTCGATGGTATCGAGGCATTTAGAACTCGATACCCAGCCCTACAAATATGATGGCTTTAACAACAACAACAATAATAATAATTATTATATTTAAATGTATAATTATATAATATTTAATAGTATACTTAGTTTTAATATTTATGATACATAAAATCAATATAAAAATATAATATTTATAAAAAATGTATATAGTATAAATAATAGTATATATTATGAATTAGAGTTATATAACAATAATAATAATGATAGCTATATAATAATAATAATAATAATAATAGGAAGGAAAATCAATCAAACTATGTATAGTTATTTTTAATAATTATAATGAAGATACAAATATATAACTATGTATTGTGAAAAGCTATATACAAATAAAACAAAATTTGATTTTATAAAATATGTAATAATATTGTATATATCTTATATTATTATTAATGTTGTTGCTGCTGCTATTATGATGTTAGTTTTTTTTAATAATTATAATACATATACAATTTTTTTTATTTTATCAAACATGTAATATAAATTTGTACTATCAAATAATATTCATTCATTCATTCATTCATTTTCCTCAAAAAGCACTTTTTTGTGATGATTATGATGGTTTTGTACAAGGTTATAGTTGTTTTGCCTGCTTATTTGTTGATCTGTCAGACGGTCTTTTGAAGGGCTGTGCACTGTTCTGTTTTTTTTTTTTTTTGCAGTCTTTCAGTTCCAGTATTTCAATATGGTTCAACATAACAATAGTTAAACATTTCTTGAGACTCCTTTACTTACACGTGTTTACTTTAAACACATGTACATTTCCTTTATGGATGTTCCTTTTAAAGAAATACAATTATACAAGGTTAGACTAGTTGATTAGTTGTTTAGACGACCAGTTCTTTTTTGAAGATGTAGCTTAGTACATCCCTAGTGAGCAGTGGTAAGTGGATATGTTGTGTGTGTGTGTATCTGTGTGTCTGTGTGTCTGTGTGTGTGTGTGTGTGAGAGAGAGAGAAAGATTCGCTGACTCATCACTCTGGTGTCCAATCAAGCATGACACACTTTTCCTCCCATTCGCTCGTAAACCCTCATGGACTCACGCAGCCGTGAGACGCTCTCACCTAAACATCCCCTCTGCGCTCTCCTCCAATTTATTGACCATTTTTCACTTCTTTGTTTTTCATGTCCTCACCCACACACTCTATTTTTCCCCTCCTTCCCTCTAGCGTGACCTAGATTTTTAACTAGGCGAGGTCTCGCCAGGTTGTGTTGTTACCATCAACGGTTCTGTATTTGAAAATTTGTTTTTGTTGGACATTTTTCCAGTTTTGCAGCTGCCTGTGAATTTGACAGATGGAATGTGTGTATTTGGGCCACCGTCACCCTTGTTTTTCTGTTCTCAGCTCAAAATGTCTTTTCTCTGGCAGTTTGTCCTCCTCGAGGCCTTGGAGAAAACATTGTGATCTTCACCCAACAATGCTGATTCACAGTATTGCATATCCAGGTGAACGTTGTCCACAATGCTGCAGTAAAAGCACTCTTAAAAATAAATTGGCATTCATTATTGGCATTGATGGTTCAGTGAAGAACCTTTAACATCTATGGAACCTTTCCATTGCACAAAAGGTTCTTTAGATTATTAAATGTTCTTAAAATGTTTACTGAAAGGTTCTTTGCTGAACCTTAAATGGTTCTTCTATGGCATCACTGCGAAAACCTGAAAACACTATTAAAAATAAAGAAGGTTTTTGGAGTGATGCCATAGAAGAGCCACGTTAGGTTCCTCAAAGAGCCTTTCAGTGAATAGAATCGTTTTCTTAGTGTGAAGAACATTTTATAATCAAAAAAACCCTTTTTTTCCAATATAAAGAACCTTTCAATAAGAAAAAAGCATTTTTGGTCCTGTATTATGTTTCCAATATAAAATCTTGGTCCTGAAACAGAATAATTTGAGAACCAGTGTCCTTGTGCAGGTTGATTGGAGGTCTTTCTTTGTTGTCTTCGGTTCCTCCTGTAGCTTCTATAGGTCTCCTCTCTGCTCATTCCAATAGATGGCGTTAAAGAGACAAACTGCCTGACTAAGATGGTCTGACCTTCCCTCCCCCATGTCCTGTCGGATAAAGGGCTCACGGTGGCAGTGCGTCTGAAAACAGCTCCTGAAGTTCAGCTTCGCCTGCCCTGCATCTAGGGACTGTTCTGCAGACACAATGACCCCGACGACAATCTCTCGTCTGATATGAAAGTTTAATTAATGGGATGACAATGATCTTAATGGTTGAATCTCATGAAACCTGTCAGGAACATATCTGGGGTCATATTTCACTTCAGAAATAAAAGACAAATGTTTAGTTTTCTTTTTTCTTCTTCTTTTTTTTGTGACTATTTCAAGGACAATCAAACACAAATTCTCATTATTGTAATGTGAAAAGATCTTGTTCTCATTACTGTAATGAGGCTATATTTATTTATTTTTTTATATTTAAGAATTATAAATGAAAATAGATACAATTTTATTTTTATAAAAAATATTAATGTGAAACCATAACAACAACAACAATAATAATAATAATGTTATTATTATAATTTGTATTTTTTTATTTTTATTTATCTGTATCATAAGAAGGCAGTATCAGTCAATTTGACAATCATGATGATTTTGTACAATTAAAGCTTATAGTTTTGGCTATTTATTTGCTGAGTATCTTAATTAATTGTTTTTATTTAGTCATTTATTAAATACATTTTCATTCAAATGTATCTTAATTTCATTAGATGATCATTTATTTATAGAAATACCATTAAATACGGTTACATTACATATATTTTAGGAATATTTTTAATAAAATATATATTTGTATTTTTTTTTATATCATTATTATTGTTAATATTATTATAGTAAAGCAATAAGCCCCAAGAAGCCGTGGTTCACAGTGAATTTATAACCGCTAAGGGGCATTGTTAGGCATGACGCGAAGCGGAGCTGTTATAAGCGGAGCTGTTATAAATTCACTGTAAACCACGGCTTCACGGGGCTTATTGCTTTTATAAAACGGTTATTCCATATATGTAGTTAGGTTTCACAAAATAAAACAGAGCAAATAAAATGTAATGATATTAATAAAAACAGTATTCTTCCACCAAACAATGTAGTTCCTCAGAAACAGTTGTGGTTGCAACAAAGTGGTTGCCAAGCAACACACAAAGTAAACAAAGGTGTGTGTTTGTAGAGTAATTTACAACAGCTTCGAGCGTGGCTCAGCCAATCAGAATCAAGGACCGGAACTATCCGTTTTATAACATAAATTAAAGGCTACATTCTATTATGTACTGTGTAAATTCACAACTTAAATAAATTGTTCTTTTTTTTTTATGTCACAATGAACAAATTGTAATGGTCGTAGAAAAACAAAAGCAATTTGGGTGAAATATGACTCTTCACATGGTTTGTGAGATTCACTTTATAATAGGTCTACATACAAGAGCAATTCAACCAAAACATCTTGAGAAACACTGATGCGTCTTATACAAAGGGAAACTATTGCATCAGTTACACTCATCAGTTCACCTGAGATACATGAGAATGTCTGGAGTCTTTGCGGTCCAGTATGTTTGGCAGTGTTTTTATGAGGATGTCGTGAGGATAGAGAGCGAGCGACACAGTGAGAAGGTTCTGGAAGCTGCACACGCCTCACAGATGTGAATGCCATTAACTGGGCTGAATTGCTGAGTGTGGTGATTTCAGTCTTCACTTCACCACATGTCTTACAATGCTGGGCCTTGACTAGTTCACACAGAGGCATAAAATGTTCCACTGGCTGCACAAACACACATATCTGATTGCTGAGAACACACGTTTGGCCCTGAAACCTGTTTGAAGAGCCATTTACATTTACATTTAGTCATTTTGCAGACGCTTTTATCCAAAGCGACTTACAATTTGGGGATACATAAAGCGATTCTTCTTAAAGAGGCAAACCGATACAGGAAGTGCTTGTAATACCAAGTTTCTAGACATTGTTCAAATAAGTACAAGCTAGAAAGAGAAGGAATAAATAAAGGGAGAGAATTTTTTTTTTTTCTTTTTTATAATGATGATGATGAAGTCAAGTAGTTTCAAAAGAGATGAGTTTTCAGCTGTCGCTTGAAAATTGTCAGGTATTTCCAATTGTTAGAAATGAGCAGACCAGTGTGAGAGAAAGAGAAATTGTTAGAGAGAGCAGCTGGGGTTGCTGAGTCTTCTGGACGAATCCAGGTCTCAGTCAAGGCCAAGATGCTAAGTGTGGATTACATTACATTTACATTGTAAATGTAAATTACATTTACAATGTAATGACTCTGCTAAACCCGAAGATGTATATGTTAACATAAATTAAAGGAATAGTCCTTTGATGTAGATGGCCATTCAAGATGTAGATGAGTTTATTTCTTCATCAGAACAGATTTGGAGAAATGTAGCATTACATCACTTGCTCACCAGTGGATGCTCTGCAGTGAATGGGTGCCGTCAGAATGAGAGTCCAAACAGCTGATAAAAACATCACAATAATCCACAAGTAATCCACACCACTCCAGTCCATCAGTTAATGTCTTGTGAAGCGAAAAGCTGCATGTTTGTAAGAAAAAAATCCATCAAGACGTTTTTAACTTAAAACTGTCACAGTTCATAATCCACAATACTGCTTTCTCCATGGAAAAAGTCATCTTGTCTGAATCAAGAGAGAAATATGCACAGACCAAGCACCAATTAGAAGCAAAAACAGTTCTAAACAAATATGTCTGGTAGATTTTGATGTGAAGGGGATGGACTTTTTGGAAGCGTTGTTATGGATTATGGAATTATATTTTGGCCAAAAGTGATGGTTTAAAGTTAAAACTTCTTAAATGGGTTTAATGATGGATTTGTTTCTCTGGTGAACAAGTGATGTGATGCTACATTTCTCCAAATCTGTTCTGATGTAGAAACAAACTCATTTACATCTTGGATGGCCTGAGGGTAAAATACACACACACACACACACACATATGTGAACGGCGTATTATTGTGCCATCTCAAAGAGGCACAAAATCACTTTCACTGACTTTTTCATTAACTGTTCCCTCCTGGTGGAATGACCTGCCCAACTCAATCAGAGCAGCTGAGTCCTTA